GAACCAATTTGAATTATTCCCGCCGCCAGAATATTTGACGGATCGTCCAACGCGCGATATTATTGGAAAGAAAATTTGTTTCCGTCGTGCCTCGTATAGATGTCATAAACCTGGCTGAGTTTCTCGTGACACCGCATGAAACAGCTGTTGTATTTCCGCAGTCAGTCCGAGGGTGGTGTCTACTGTCAGATGCTCCGCCTATAAATCAAACCTATGGATAGGAGGGATACAAGCCGACGCCATGTTAACATACATAAACAAACCCTGCGCATTGTAACTGATAAACGGCGGAAGCAACATGTAACAAGCGATCTCATCCCAGCAGAGAGCTATAGTTCTTTGTATCTGTCAGAACTGTTTTTCGCATATATTTTTTAAAAAAGTAAATATAAATATATATGTAATATTTTATTTAATATATAATTGTAAAAAGTTACATACGATATAATTTACTCTAAATGACCTATTAAAATATAGATTATATATGATTATTTTATTATTAACATAGTTTTAATTAAAAGTTTCATCCATGTAAGCTATATTATATTTTTTTAATTAAAATATTTTTCCCTATATGTTATTTGAATGCATATCATTTTTTCTTTGATAGCTTTGTTTATGTTTGTTAGAGAGACTAATATCACAATGTTTCATTAAATTATATTTCATTAATGATTAATAAATAATGATAAATATGCATAGGATAAAATGTTGAAGCAAAAAAAATAGAGAATCATTTTGATTTTGTTTTCTTTGATAGTTTTCTTTGATATTTTTGTACTCTTCATTTATTAATCTTTGTTGCATGGATGAATATCGCTGTTTGATTAAATCATATTTCATTAATATTTATTAAATAATAATAAATTTGTACGAAATAAAATGTGAAAGAGAGAATCGTTTTGATTTTGTAATTGTTTTACAGGCAACGGGCAAAGATCACGAATCGGCTAATGGTAGAAGGTGCAGGTCTCGAAGAGCCTGAGACTAATCAGACTAAACATTAATCTTTCGAGTGGATCCTCGACCCAATTCTCTTAAGGTCAAGTCGCAATGGAGACGTTGATTGGATTCCACGTCAAACCAGAAGTAAACACCTTTCCTATCATTACGCTCTTTTATCTCTTTCCTTTTTTTTCTCAACCACATCGTCGGCATATATTGCGAAATTAAATTTTATTTAATTATCTCGCATTTATTGATCATGAAACTAATGATCATGACGCGTCGTGACAGCCTGACGTAAATCGCTATTTATATTTGCTTATTAATAATTCATAGAAACGTCGTCGATATATATTGTAATAGCTCATTCGTTTGCCTTTTACGCCCGACGATATTTACGTGGAAAGTGTTTCGCAAAAAAGCTGGAAGATCTCGTCGCGGGATGTGCTGTGTTGATTAAAAATTAACGGATTACTAATACATCTTCTCCCCGCGGTTTTAGAAGCGAGAAGATATTACTAGGTAATTGTAAACCGCACAGCTTCCAGAGCTACTATGGACCGTTTATCATCGTCTCTATAGCTACCGGATCGTTGAGTGAGGAGATTTGGGGGTTCACCGTGCTAAGAGTTGAAACCTCAGCATGACTGGTGGCCTCGGTAGCCGATAGACGTGTCATTTATGCGTCTACGAATCAATAGCCGCTTCACTTTACACCCACCTTACATCATTAGTCATTTTATAGGGCCGTTCTGCTCCGTTACACGCGTACGCGGCATTTGCTCCCGCGACTGATTTGTCGTCTCATCCCGACATAAGTCTATCGACCGAAAAGACTAGTAAGCTCGCCGATTACGATTAATCCAATTATTAAAATATCCTTTTCACTAGATCGTTCGAGATACACTTTGTTGATCGAGACTTGTTATTAAATATCAGGTATTGCATTATCCAAAAATGGATTATATTAGATGTAATTAATTCATTGGAATATGCCACATTTAGGTGTGTAATATGACTATTATAATTCGAATATTATGTGCGTGGCGTGACGAAAGTCAACTCATCATCCCGATGATAACATATGTCCATATGTACCTTTTTCAAAACACTCTAGATGACGATATCGATTGCTTCGTGTTTCTAAAATTCGATCGAATAATTTCAATCTGAAATCATTTTTTTTTTCGTAAGATCAGAGTATAATAACTTTATACTGTTATTAAATTTGAAATGTTAAATTATGCATACCTTTAATCTCAATTTAATGAAGAAAAAATTATAAATTTATTTATTGAATCTGTATTCCATAATTATTTAGAAATAATTGATGAGAATTATTTAGAAATAATTGATGAGAAATTTATTTATATTGAAAATCATTTAATTGAGAAGATATTTCATCATTATTAAGTCTGTGCTTTACGTTGCATTAAATGCAAAATTATAGCTTGGTTAATAAGCAAAAATTGCTTGGTAGAATAATAATGGAAAATACTGGGAACGGTCGTAAGATTGCGTTAATATATGTAAGGAGTTTTACGCGTGACTTATTTAGCAATTTTTACTAACGTTTATTACTTACGTTTATTAATTTCCTCCGCTACAGACCTCATTATTCTTCAAGATACGGCTTACACCTACGTACGATTGTAATGTGGTAAGAGACCTTCGCATATTCTCGTCATATCGCAAAGCTATCCCCGACAAATGGATAGTGACGACTTTTCTCAACGCGAGAATCCATTTTCATCTTTTCCATGCTCGACTAACACGTTCTGATTTCCAGTTTCAGGCGCGGAGAGCTAAAATTGGAAGCCGATCGTCGATGCACTCGCGGAAGAGGCGAAAGTATAATCGGTCGGAAGTAAGTTTCTCACAGTCTTTCGTCATTTGCCGGCAACGGGAGCACGAGACGATGCGAGATTCTATTTGCGGTAGGCGAGCGCGAGTTAACGGACGAGATGATCGTAAGGTGTCCCTCTTCCTCTCTCTTTCTTCGTGTGGTTAAAACTCAACGCCATATATACAGTGGAGAGAGCCGAAGCTCCCGCTTCCTTCATCTATCATGCGAACCATGACAAACCGAGTCTCAAAAGCAGCCGCCAGCGTAGCAGCACTTTCTTACCTTCTTCACTTAGTCACCGGGCGCTCAGGTGAGTCTCTACCTGCCTGATATACAGGCAGACCTCCTCTCCCTCGCCCTCCTCCCCCTCTCATTCCGTATCTACATTTATTAACATTTAAGCGTTAACGACATTTCTCTCTCTCTCTCTCTCTCTTTCTTTTTCCGTCTCTCTTGCGCGCGCGCGTCTCAGAAGAAAAAGAAGCAAGAACCGTTGCCGGCTACTCGTATCTTGCTTGCCTTCTACCTCCTTTTGATTCGGACGTGGGATTTCTTTGTTTCAAAAAAATACTGCCGCGAAATCGATTAAATGAAACAATCGCGGTAATTCCAGAAATCTTTGTGAGCGCGCGCGACACGTTAATTAATCTCTCTGCGACGTGAAATATCCACGAGACACAATGTTGTGAAAATTAACGATTCTGAAGGAATGAAACGGAATGAGAGACGCGAGTTACAGCTGTACGGTGTGTTGCGGATTGCGGTAAAAATCGTAGAGATTCATGCGTTTTCCGCTCCGTGGATATCGGATGGAAAGCAAAGTGGCGTGAATGAGTTGTCCCTTGACGATCGTAAGATTTATGGTCGCGACGGTTGGGCGGAAAGGGCAAGCGTCGGTACGATCTCGGGACTAGTAACCCTTGACCCAGACTCCGGAGTCCACCCTCGGTATGACCACGATAGAGCGCTGCATGATTGACGATAAAGATACGTTGCAAAACGCTTGGACGTTGCTCCATTGAGACTTGATTCGTTCGACGTTCGCTGGATCTGGGCGAACGTCGCGAAATATCTCGTTGCATGGTTCTGAAAAAAATAAAAACGAGGAAGCGTGGCACGAAAAGCGATTGCGCGATACAAGAGCGCGGGTTAAAGCGCAATTTTCTAGTCCTTCGACGTTTTTCTCTCCTTTTTTCCCTTTTCTTCCTTCCCTTTCTTTCTCCCGCCCGTAAGGACCTTTGGTCTTTGTCGGAGAAAAAGTTAATAGCTTGGAGAAATTAGCCAATGTGGGGAGGATCGTTGATCGGGGATCGTGTTTCGGGAGGGTGTTCTGCACAGATGCAACGATAGCAACAGTTCGGCCGGCTCGAACCGGAGGTCACATATGAGCTCGGAGCTATGGCGTCGTATGGGCTTGACTCACACGCATCACGCGTAGTCATCCATCATTGTCAGTCTCTTCACTGACACACAGCCGTCCGTCCTACCGACGCACTCGGGGCTTTCGATTTGAGTTTCTTTCGTCAAAGTTGTGATTTTGTACAAAATGTCGAAATGTTCGCCAATCTATGATTTATCATACACACACACACACACACACACACAATTGTCATAATGCTTATTTAACAATTTTAACTTTATTTTCTTATAAATCTTTGAATTAATAATTAAATTAATCTTGCCATCGAACAATATTTTGCGAGAATATACAAGTCGCATGCAGGATGCATCGAAGAGAGAAACTTTAGTGAGATCTTTCTAATTTTACTATACGACCGTGATAAATCAATCTCTACGTATGCAAGGATTTCTCTGACATAACAAATGGCGCGTAATCTCTGAATAGAATATAAAGTTGACACGGTGTAAGGATACACTGCTAAGAATAATATTTCAGTTCGATTGCTCCGATATTTCAGGTCATCCATCATCGTCACTTTCATCGCCGACACGACGAACCGCGCCATCTACGATCAAAATTTACGCGTTCCGCTTCCGCTTCATGGTCACTCCTTCGTTAAAGTTGCGATTTTCCATATCACTCGTTGACTTATGTACGATGTTTACCGATTCCATATGGTCCCTCGCTTCGGCTCTCTCAACCGCTCTCAACATCGAAAGCGAAGACGAGAGACTGCGACACTGTAAGAAGATGACTGCTAAAAAAAAAAAAGGAAAAGAAAATAAAAACACTCATTACTTTTTGCTATGACCTGTATTTGTCAAATGTATCCGTGAGTGAATGTACACGTGTGATGATAACTTTTGTTTATACCGTGTCGAGGGCTCACTTGCAACACAATTATATAGTTAAGAATGAATAAACAATATACGGTTATCGTACGCGCATTATGTACATGAGAATCTTTATATGAACAACGACGGCGCCTATAATGTTTTATACAAAAAGATTTGCGTATATTAAATATGTTGCCGCGAGGTGAAAATTAAAGTTACGTTCCTATCTATTTTTTTTTTTACTTTTACAATTATCTACCGTGTGAGTGACAATAATTTATTTGGTTCGCTTAAAATAGCGCTCTAGATATTACAAAAGAAATGCGGTTTGTGAAAAAATGAGATAATGCAACCGATATATGTATTAATATATATTTAATAGGTATTAGATATTACATTACACTCCTCATCGTAGGGAGAGATGTAGATTATCACTCGATATATTGCTCAACGATGTGTTCCAACGTCATCAAATAACATTATATCCACGTGGAGCAACATATCGATCCGAGTTAATTTTACAGATTCGTTTCATTTTTTCACAAAACGAATGGCGCAGGTAAAGTTTTTACAGGTGCATTTGTCTTTTCTCGCAATAGTGACCGATTTCAACTATTCTCCGTATTCAATAAGAGGATAATTTTTATAAGAGAGAGAAGAGAAAGAGAGAGAGAGAGAAAGAGATAGACATCTATTTCCTGTGTTTAATTAAAACTAACGAATTGTACCTATTTCACTTTTCAGAAGTGTACTCGGTATAGTAATCGTAACTGTGTATAAATGCGATTTTCTTATTTGTTTGTGTTCCATTAATCTAGCATATCTTTCATATGATATATCTATATATGTACACGTTGTGTCATTGTTAATTATTGCTCATGCATCTACTCGTCTCGTTTCGTTTGAAATCAAGTATAATCTCTCGTTTATCGCGTTATTGATTATCATGTGAAAATTAAAATACCTGCAGGTGCGTAATTTAGAGAAACTTCTTCGAGTTTTTTCTTCAAGATTTTCAAATATGATTAAACGCTCGAATCAAACCAATGCCAATAAAATTATATCGAAATCGAAAAAAAAACGGTATTTCAGTAATTTATACGTTCTAGTTTTCAAACACCCTAACGAGATACGCTAATGTAGAGACCGCCCACGCCACAAGAAGAGATTGCACTTACACCTCGTGTTTTCGTTCACGAGAATCGCTGGAAATCGAAATTTTCATCCCACGACAGCGAACTTTTTGACATATTTACATTATTCCTCGTGCACGTTTGTAATCCACAGCTATATATCAGTCTAATATCACTTACAAGTCACACTTTTCGTCTCCTGCGATTAAGAGTGTTTCGCGAATCGAAACGGTGACGATAAATTCACTTTGAAACAGTCACAGTTTATAAAAAATTCTAGAAGATAAGGGAGAGAATTCTGTTTTGCCCTCGCTTCAATTTAAAATTAACACAACCATTGCACTCGTTGCCACTGTTTTAAATTTGCCGAAACATACTTGAACGTTTGGAATGTAAATTGATAGGTTGACATCCTGCCCGATAGTAAGAAATATTAAAATCGATATTTTATTTATAACATGGACCGAGAGATGGAATATAATCCAGACTTGCAACCGAGAAAAGTCGACAATTTCCCTGGTAATCCGAATTATTTGAGATATGCTTGCAGTTGTCGAACTTCAGTTTAAATCCCACACACACACATATATTTCAGGTTTTATATTTACAATTATTCTAAATCAGTCCCCCATAAATCTTGATTAGCGCAGCTAGTTTTGAAATAAATCCCGACACAAATTCGCGAAAGAAATGATTTCAAACTATTTCAATAATCGAGGTCAAACGTGCCTAACGTTTAGACGCACACGTTGTTGACGGTATCTTTAATCTGCGCGACACAGTTGCATTTTTACACACAATATTCATTTACACATAATCCTAATAAATCACGAGTACTAATGTATGTATCACGTGGACTCTTACACGCGGCTCTTATCACGACGATTAGGTGGTGCTTCAGTACAAAGCATTGAGCAGGCATTGCTCGTCGCCCCAGTCTAGCTGGCAAGAGCTCTCGGTCTCGTGGACTCAGCTGAGCTGATAGTACTCGGGAGCAAAGTCATTCGCCAGATTGCTCAGGAAGTTGAAGTCGGACGAGCTGTTGCTGTTGTCGGCGGACGGTGGCGGCGGTGCCGCCGTCGCTGCTGAGTGTACCGGATCGCCGTAGAAATTGCCGTAATTGCCGTAAGACTCGTTGTTACTGTCGGTCTGGCCAGTGCTCCCGGGTGGCGTGATAACTGCAGCAGTGGCAGCCGCGATCGCCGTCGCCGTCGTCGTCATGCCTGGTGCGGGGAACGGATCGGGAGACGAGACGTAGCTGTTGGGGATGCTGGATGCCTCCCCTCCCTGATGAACGTGCAGCTGACCGGTCTGCTCGTAATACGCGCCCGGATGACACTTGCTGCCGCTTGGCCGATAGTCACCGGAACTGGGATGCATCGGCGGCTGATGGGTGACGTAACTCTCGGCGGTATGTTGCTGCGGGTGTTGCTGCTGTTGCTGGATGTCGTTGAAGTAACCGTGTTGACCGGGGACGACGGCGTGGCCGTGCGTCGCCAGATTCTCGCCGGTCCCGCCGTGATAACTGCCGCCAGAGTAACCTGAGTAATTCCCGGGCGTCATGTAGTCGTTTGTGCCTTGCTCGTTCTGCGTCGCCGAGTACCCTTGACCGGTGCCATAGGCATTGGCGGCACTCTGCATACCTCGATGATAAGCGTGATAAGGCGGCCCAGCCTGCGGGTATCCATTGTATTCTCCGGTGCTGCCGTACTGCAGTTGCTGCTGATGAAACTGCTGCATGTTGGCGGCACCGTACATCGACCTTGACGTCGCGCACGTCGTTGTTCGAGCGTGATGCGTCATCCTTGAGCCCACCGACTGGTTTTGTCTGACGTACAGAGAATTCACCTCACCCGGATAAGAGATCCTTGGTTGCTGATACGCGTCCCGGGAGCAGTAACTATTTTGCGATTGCGTCTGCTGCGTCGCTGTAGGTATGTTCTGCCTGTTGGCGGGCACGCCGTTTCGATAATCGACAGCCGGTGTCGACTGATAGACACCCTGCTGCTGAAAGTGCGCCTGCTGATTACCCGAGATGCCTCGACCGCCATGAGGCGACATCGTGCCTGGATTTGCCGTGGCATGCAATATCGGTGCCGGCAACGCGGTCGTGGAGGACGGTGAGCTACGTGGTCTCTGCATGTAAGCCGCGTGAGTCGTTTGCTGAATACCGAGGGGGCTGCCTTGTTGAAGCTGGACGGAGACGGGGGTGCCGGGTGTCGAGGAGGGCGTAAGACTTCTCGTGGAGTTCTGACCGGGCAGAACCGGCGTGCTGACCGTCGAGTCCGGCATGGCCAGCAATACGCCGTTGCTGTTAACCGAGCACATATCCTTCCCGCTGGCCGATGGCGATTTCTTGCTCACCGATATCTGCTGCTGCTGCTGTTGCTGCTTCGCGGCGTTCGGACTCTTGTGATCGCTCTCGACCTTCACTCTCACCTCGCCCGACAATTTTTTCGTCACGCTCGGTGATGTCACTTCGCTCCCATCCTGCGACCTTGAATCATCGTCCACTATCATCTTCTCGAACGAGCTGGAGACGCTGTTGGTGCTGCCGACGCTACTGGCGCCGTTGCTATTTGTGTTGAAACCGGTATTACTGTTATTGTTGTTATTATTATTAGTCGCACCAGGTGTATTGTTGTTGTTGCTGCTTCTTCGGCCGGAAGAAGTTAGATCGGTAACGTCGCCGGTTAGAGTGCTACCGACATCACTTACGCCCGAAATATCACAGTTATGACAGCTCTTCTTCTCATCGTTGTCGGGGGATAACATTTTGTCGCCTTTAGGCTTCTCCATGCCGTCCGACGTAGAACCGTCCTTTTCGTCGCCATCTTCTTTGCTGAGCGTTTGCCGCTTGTGTTTCATTCGCCGATTTTGAAACCAAACCTTTACCTGTCACAACGATATTTATTTAATTAATTGCATTTTATATATACAAAAAATATAATTAAATTATAGATAAAAAATTATAGATTGTAGAATGGTACAATAGATAAAGGAAAAATGTCTTACATTTTTTTCAAAACTATATAAAAATATTTTAAGTATAAGTAGATCTCAAGTAGAAATGAAAGATGTAGTGGACAATTTATTTTTTATTACATTATTGATTTTATTGTTACCTGTCTCTCTGTAAGATCCAGTGATGCTGCGATCTCTATCCTTCGCGGTCGACAAAGATACTTGTTGAAATGAAACTCTTTCTCCAGCTCGAGAAGTTGGGTATTCGTGTAGGCCGTTCGCAATCTTCTTGGTAAGCCATTCTCTGCAAAATAAAAAATCCACTCTTTCTCAATCGATATAATTATATTAAATATTTAGAAAAATATAAAAAATATGGAATTCAAATTATTCTCGTATCTACTATTTCAAACGAAATATTTCATGTTTAAATATTTTATAAATATCGTAAATATGTTTAGGAAGAAGCATATTGTATAAAGGATTTATTTTAATGTTCTATAAATATTTTGCCGAAGCTTTTGCGCTCCGATATTCGCGTCATCTTTACCACAAGGATACTCTCTTTTTGTCTCTTACACGAAGTAAATGGTATTCTAATTAATGATCATTTAAGCAACCTAAGCGTGCTATAGAGAGAGAAAGAGAGAGGAAAAGAGAGGGGGAGGGAAGGTACTTGCGACATGACATCCTTAACAATGCATAAGCGAAGATTCCCGCGCAACGAAAAGGCCTATTCTTGTTCCGGCGAGTTACTGGGCTCCTTAGAAACTTTTGGGCAAGTTTCCCCACCAGCGCTATTCCATGTCGATACGAAACATCTCCTAATTGTTATCGGACAAGAAACTTGTTCCGCGATAACAAGAGGAATGCCACGCGGGATCGAGAAGACGCGAGGGCGCAGGCGATGGAGAGAGAAAGAGAGAGAGAGATGATGTAAGAAAGGAACCGCGGGGCTTATATTTGGGGGCAGATCTGATCTAGAAAGTAGCGACCAAGTATCTCACGGTATTTTGTCGAGGCATGTGACGTAAGAGTAATTTCTACCCAACTGCCGTAAACAATTATTAATAGCCGCCTATCGTAATTACGAGAATTCGCCGCATGCCCCGAAGGAGTAATATTTCAATCAAACTTGATGGCTCTCCGCTGGCTTGCGTTGTTTACAAGACGTGTCTTGACAAATTCTCTAGGAACAATGTATACTTTATCATGGCTCTTTGGAAAAACCTCGTAGACTCCTCATTTATCTGAATAGAGAGTTTGTGAACTGTTCAAAATTTTACTACCTAAGAACATAAGAGAAAGACCTAAGCAGACCTCCAAAGAGAGAACTATTTCACGCCAATATCTTATTCCATCGGTCACTGGCCACCTGGATTTTGAAGTTTTTTTCTTTTTTTTTATCAAGGATCACAAGGGTGTTACACTTTTTTACGCGTCGCCGTATCGCGAGAGAAGAAAAAAACCGATACGCCGTGACGCAGTTTGGGCGAAGGGAGACAGCAAAGGGAGAGGGGGCGGTGGTTCGTTTCGTAGGGCCGAGATGCTAAACTACCCCATAGCGTGCGAGCGGATGTGGGGTGCCTGAGGGGTGGTTCGACAGTAGGATGAGTCGTCAGGGGTTAAAGGAGAAAGAGAAGGAGAATGATTGAACGAAACAGAGGGAAAGAGATGTAAAAACGACGAAAGATAAAAAGAGAAGATATAGTAACTGAAAAAGGTTGGAAAAGATACGTGATGGAGATGGTTAGAATGAGAAGGAAGAATGACAGAGAAAGAGAGAGAGAGGGAGAGGAAGAGGGAGAGAGAGAAAGAGAGGATATTCACGGGGATGAGGGAGAAGGATGTAGACTGAAGATGTAGTAAGCTTTGAACCTAGCAAATCCTGCACGTGGAGTTTCCACAGGGTGAGGGCGACGGTGGCGAGATGAAAGTATCGCATGATTGACGTGGGCCTCATCAGCATTTCGGTCTTGCGATTGGTTGGACGAAACTGTCGATCAAACTCCACTCCACGCCCTGTATCTGCTCAATCGTTCCAGGAGTTTAATTCAATCCGACGATGAATGTAGAGCAATATTGGGGTGGCAAATAATTATATCTAATATATATATATATATATATATATATATATATATATAAATTAAATATTTAAAATATTTTTAAAGAAAGGCTTTTTTATATAAGTGTCAATAATCTTGTTAAGAGTAATCAAATATTGCTTTCTCGTTTGTGAAATAATAATAATTACAATATTACTATTTCTTTAATCTAAATTAGACAGACATTATTGCTTTGTAACAGAAACTTTTGCCGATAAATATATATATATATATATAAATTAAATATTTAAAATATTTTTAAAGAAAGGCTTTTTTTATATAAGTGTCAATAATCTTATTAAGAATAATCAAATATTGCTTTCTCGTTTGTGAAATAATAATAATTACGATATTACTATTTCTTTAATCTAAATTAGACAAACATTATTGCTTTGTAACAAAAACTTTTGCCGAGACTGGACGCGAAAATGTGTCGGCGTTGCTAGCGAGCTTCTCATTCTTGAGACGATGTAGCGGATGACGAACTGTCAAGGCGTAGTCAAAATGAAGAGCGCGACCTGACAAGATCTTGTACGCGAGGTGAGAACGATAGAGCACGAAAATAGAATCTGTATTTTCGTATATCACGCTGTTAGAAAGCCTCGTTTATTCGGTTCATCCGGTTGAGACTACTACTATAAAAATATTTTATAAAAAGAATTATTAAAAAGCTTTTAATGTACATAAATTTCATTTAAAGAAACAAATAGCGTCTAAACGAATAAATATATATTGTTATTAATGCCAATATTAATAAATGCAATATATATTTACGTATTTAAAAATTAATATCTTAAATTCTACATCTGAAAGTTAATTTTATACTTGAGACAAGATGTGCATAAAATTAATATATGTGTAAAATTAATATAGATGTAGATACAAAATAGAAAATTTGCAGAACGATAATAATTAATAATAATTCAAAATTTATTCTGTTTTTTATAATATATATTCTATATCTTATACTCCATATATACAGTTAGAATCTTATTTCATTATTGTCATAATAAGCGCTTTAATATATAATAAACATATTTTGATGATAAAAAATTGTCAATTTTATTAGTAATGAGAAAGTAGAAGAAATAATAAAAGCATAAAAGCGACATTCGAATTTAGAATAACAGACTTGTTATAATGTAATAGTTTGTCAATTGTCGATGGAGCAGATGCTGATGTCCATGACAAACCTGACAGCCGTCGCTTCGCGGATTCTTATAGGTGTATAAGACGCGAATACGAGTTTACACTCGATCACACATCCTTTTGACGAAATATAATTTCAAGAATGAGCTTTCAATTACGTGATGCTTTTTCGTTATTTCTTTAAGAACACGTGTTAATCTCAATGCAAACTTTTTATCAAACGAAAGTTACATCAACATACGAAAAATTATTCATTTTTTATATTTTCGATATAAATCGAAACATTTTAAGCATTTTTGCGCTTAAACGTTACGTAAACTTCAACGTAATATTTTCGGCTCCTCTTTAATTTAAAGCTATCAATGTACAATGATAAAGCTAACGATGCTGTTTGTCACCAGAAAGTATAAGTAATGTAAAATTCTGAATATTTAATATGTTATTATACACACTCTGACTTTCCCAGATATTTTGCGTAGAAACTTTTAGTCGTATGAAACATAATTAAAGAAAATAGAAGCAGAAAAGAGCGGTTCGCACGCAAGCCATTGTTCAATTCCGATCCATGTCCCTTCCATTCTTCCGCTCTTCGCTATGCTGGAATGTTTACGAACAGCTGGTGAAACTCTCATGCTCTCCGCTTTCTTAATTTTCGTATTATCTCGTTGCACACACATACTTATGATTAATCTGCAGATATTATCAAACTGTAACGAGCAATAAAGAAGCATGTCTTGGAGAAGCACGGCCGTTGAAGCCATGGAAAAAGGTCTCTTCAAAGTCCAGAAGTAGTTTACGCGCGACACCGAGTCGTCCGGATCATGGATTTCCCTTCAGCCTTTGCCGCGCTCTCGTTTTCTCCAGACTGGACCAGGTCGTTTATAGACAGGTGGGAAGGGTCACATGACGGGCGTCTCTGTAATTTGTCTTTTGTTTCCCCCCGCGTGCGCGCATAGAGGAAGAAAACTTGCGAGAGGAAGAACAAAGGGCGGAAAGAACCAGCACTTCTCGAACGGAGAAGAGAACGATTATTCCTCTCCGTTCCGTTCCCAACTTCTTCCTCTCCTCTCTCTATCTCGCCCCTTTGCTCATCCTGTCCTCCTTCCCTCTCTCTATCTTTCTCGTTTCTTTTAGTATCGAGAGAAACCTGCGGCGGCGGCGTCAGCGGTGTAAACGTATGAAAAATGAGTGACGAGAATTTGAAACAAACGAGAAGACAGCCGGTTCTATGTCCGCGCTTTGACGTGTCCGAAACAGGTAGACGGCAGGTCAGGGAGGAAGGTAACCGTGATCGATAACTTTTTGATCGTTTCGGACTCCTTCGGGCGTTTCTTATATCCGCGCATCGAACGTTACAAATCTGGGATTCTGGGAAATAATCTACTTTAAAATACAGCAATCTCTTGACATCTTATTAAAAATGATATCGAGATAGGCTTGTGAACCGCCTCGAAACTTTTGCGACTGCAGATCACATTTAATTTAAAAATGTATTAAATACATTGCGTGCTCTTTTCAACATGTATTCCTTTATAATATTTGTGAAAAACAAATCAAATTTCGTACGTAACTTTCTTGAAAAAAATTCAATATTCCAACTGAATCGAAGAAAGAATAAAATTTCCGTTTTGCGAATTTAGATTTAATCAATATTGAAAAAAAGCGGTACTACTAAAAATTACGTCATAATATGTTCCGCGCTTGTTTGAAGCGACGGAGGAATTATTCATCGCGCAAGAATAAAGTAGGTATTTAATGCGCCATTGGGTAATTTGTGGCGGGATAAGCGAGGGGGAGAGAAGACTCGAAAGCGTGGAATCGGCATAAACTGTGGCTCATTACAGATTTACAGCAAGACGTAGTACGAACCCGACCGCAAGGTGAGGAGAAGGGGGGGATGGGGCAACGAACAAAACTAAACGCACCGAGAACCAGAATGAAGGGAGTCGAAGTGGAATGGCTGGCAGGAAGGGCTCTCTCGGGCAGCTTTGGTTTTGGTGGGCTGTCGGGGGTTGCGGGCTCTGCGCTGGATACGAGCTATAATCAATTA